AGGATGGAGTTACAGTAGTCGAGCCGAGAGTTTACAAGGGAGTGAATTAGAAGCTTTGTGGTTTTGTTTGTTAAAAAGGGGCGTATTTTAGAAATTTTACGGGGGTTGAGTTGGCAAGATTTGGATAGTGATTGGATGTGGGGCTGAAAGGAGAGTTCAGAGTCAAGGATTACACCGAGTACCCTGCACCGAGTACACTCATGCTGGCATACAATGTTTCCATCAAAACTCCAGTTTCTTTAAAAAAATGGTTGACTGTGTGGTCCCAGGGACGGTCTCCATATAAATCAGACAGCATTGTGTGTTCAATCGTTCATTCTTAGTTTTATTTGTATGGTAATATTTATGTAAATAGCTAGCAGTTTGGATGGGTGGGGCCTATAGGAAAGGACCTTATCATTCACACATGCCCAGGGTGGCATAATCTCTCAATACAGAGTGAGGCCAGGAAATTGACTTTATTTGCACAGCATAGGATCTGATCGTCAGCAAACATTCGGAGCCAATCTGGTGAGCACAGCTTAACTCCTCTGTTATGGTTACATATACCTTACCATAACATGTTCCTTTGTACCATAAAACAAACTCCGTTCAGAAATGTACATTTGGATACATCGGCCTAATGATGCTGATTTGACTCTGTTTGCCATGTGCTAGAACTTATGTTATAGTAAATCAGCACTTTTTTGTGGTCAGGGCTGCTTGGTTTGTGTAATGACCTCATAAACCTGCTCTTTTCAGGAACGGTAATAAAACATAGACTTTAGCAAAATAAAAATGTGTGGGACTCCAGCGGGCCTGTTCTAAGGGAATTCTGGTTTTCAGAGTAAGCATTTTTGTGTATCATTTATTACAGTCCTGCGTTTTGGTGTTTTACTTGGATTAGTTTTTATGCGATATGGAAATTGTCTTTATTCACAGCTATATCAAGAGTTGCATGTCATAATTAATTTTAGAGGGTTTTATGAATGGTGTTTATATTATATGAAACTCGGATCATTAGGGGGTCCAGGCAACTAGAGCAACGTTCATTTATATTACTCAAATAATACTTCTCTTAAAGGGGATTTGCAGTCCAAATGAAAATGCCTTAATCTGTGTTCATCTGGCTCTTTCAGCCTATAGCCAGTGCCAGAAGGCATCATGTAGCATATATATATATA